TGCGGGACGAACAATTCTCGTCGCGTGTTTGCAGAAGCTCGTCACACATAGTGAATACCCTGCCCGAGCTTGCCTCTCCTGCTGGATTCGCTAGGCAATAATGGCCGGCTGACAACGGGCAATCTCATCGAGCTTCAGCAAACACTTGCTTCTCTAGGTTGAGTTTGATCATTACTGATGACTTATTTGAAACGCATAGGGCCTCGAATGTTTAGTGCACAGGCCTGTTGGATTGTTAACCTCTGACTCCCGTCTGCACTACGGGATAGTCTAATTCTTGAGTGTTACGATATAGCGCTTGTTTGAACAAGCAATCATTGAGTAGACAAATTTGAATCACGGGACTGCAGTAGCAGATGGCAAATATTGATGTAGCGTTGATACATCGTCTCGCCATCTGCCGAGTGACGCACATCGTTCCAGCAATTGTCTCAGCAATCTACTAGCCCTCTCACGACCTATCTTGACCAGACGAGGGTTTGATTTTCTCATGCATCGCAAGTTCAACTTGATGCATCGATCACCAAACTCCAATTTATATCCAGGCCTAGTCTTCATCGTGTCAGCAGGCCAAACATGTATGTGAACGGAAGCTGAGCTTGCCAAAAGTGAAGGAACCGAAGGAAATTTAAATTAATCAATCAAGTAGGGCTGACAGAATGACTTAGCACTATACGAATGAGTCGATAGAAATTACGCGTGTCTCTGTTAGCTACCTATAAGTACAACTAGGGAACCCCTCGGCACCAAACTTAATGGAATTCGAGTAACAGATCAGGTGAGAGGAAACAAAAGATTGAGCGACTTCGGATAAAGCTTCAATTCTTCCATTTCGAGTCCCAACCTTACCTTTTGTTACTTTACTCAGGCGATGCACAAAGATTGTTGAATGGAGCTGGGGATGGTCACTGCGCTGAGGACAAGACTTGGATCATTCAAACTCTCATCGCTTCGAGTGACATAGTCATGACCGAAGAATACCTGCCTGTCTACAAGTTGTCACTTTCATGAATTTCTTCCGAGTATGTGAGGAAACATGTAGCATCTCGCAAAGTTGGGAATTCGACGCGTTTCTTTTGCCCACTCAGTCGGAGTTCATGTCAACGTGAATATGATATGTCATTTTATTTGGGAATATACTGCGACATATAACGCGACCCTCTTGGTAGTCAGCATTAGTGTAGGCTTGGCTGAGAAGGGATCACTTTCCAGCCCACTAGACGAATGATACCATGAAGCGAGTCCCGAGACACGGATTTCAGTACTCTCTCTACGAAAACTCAAATGCCTCTTCCCACAATGCACAATATTGATATGTATCTGGCCCTTGTTGTGCATTTATCCCGAGCGTCGTTTTGACGCCTGCTGGCTTATGACGGCGCAGAAGACCGTGGCTCTATAACATGATAAGTAATTTAAGAATGCGTTTAAGTAGAGATTTTGCTCGGTCATTTCTTAAGCACTAAAATCAGATAATGTCATGATAAGCAGGATCATTCTTCATACGTATTACCTAATCACTACACTACTCCAGCTACGTAACATTAGCTTGGATATCTGTGGTTTGGCACGTCCACCAGTCCTGGTGCGTCGGACATCATAGACAGCACTCAACGCCCTCTGCCCCTACCACGCTTCGCACCGCCTCGACCCGCACTACGACCACGCTTACTCCTGGGCTTCACGTCCGGATTCTCGTACAGTTTCTCCTCTCCGAAGGCCATCTCCCCAAAGTTAAGGTAGCTGATCATCCCGCGATCGACCACGGCGACCAACACATTCCTCCATCCGTGCTTCAGACGCTTGTATACTAAGCCCGCCCCCTTTCCGTCTCGGTCTCGCTCCAGAGGTGGGTCGAATGGTTTCGACATGAGCAGTGCATCGATCTGCTCCATCGTTGGGATACTGGTTTCGCGCGCATCGACGACGCAGAGGCGAAAATCAGGCGGCGGCGGATGAACCTTTGTGAAGACTGGCTGGGCTTTCCAGATATGAAAATGAACCTTGAAGGGTTCTTGAGGTTCAGGATAGTCTACTGGTAGGTATTGAGTAGGCTTGTGTCTGGAAATCAGGGCCAGCTGTTCGAATATTGGCGTATAAGAGCGATAAAGGCCTGGCTTCAACAGTGGCCCACCGTTAGAATGGTTAAGCTGTGATTGTGAATTGGCAAGAGAGTTTTTCAAAAGTGAATATAGCCGAGACCACAAGGGTTGGGGCAATGGTGGTGATGGTGGCTCTAGTGGTGTCGCACGCAAGACTGAGTATCCAGTTCGTTTCAAGCCGGCGTAGACTTGAAACTTCTCAAGGCTGATCTTTCCACGTTCTCCGTCACGCCCAACCAGAAGCGCATAGGCCCCTTGAAGACCAACAGGAACACCCAGTTCATGTTCCTCGAACGGTTTGGTATTCGGAGCAGGCGAAGATTCCTCAGGCATATCATCGGACTCTTCTCTTTTCGAGGGGAATACATCTTCTATCCCTCGTGATGGCCACCACAGATCCAATGACCCGCGCTCTACCAAGAACAGCGCTTCCTCGGGTAGTAACCAAAGCTTTTGCCATCCAGGTGTGTTTCTCTCAATCCCGGTAACAATGCGACCCATAGAACTGAGCAAAGAGCCCCTTTCGACTTCAACTGCAACGACACGTTCACGCGCGAATATGGGGTAGCTAGAGCTTCGATCATTGCTCTTTGGCTTATTTCCGGTGGTCTGGTCCTCATCCGGCATGTCGGCCCATCTGTCAGGAAAGTACCAACCGCGCAGAACATTCCTAGGCAGTGACTGTCGTGTATAACTGAGTACATCATGCATAGCAGAGCGACTGGACTCGAGTACACCCTCTTGAGCGCGCGTGCCGTGGGACTCGAAATCCTTCTCGCCGCGTCTGATTGTCCTGCCAGACGCCGGCTTTTGAGATGAGGCCCCGAGAGCTGCGAAGAAGCGAAAGTCCGGGATTTGTTCGTCACCATCATTTTCGGAAAGTGCGTCTGAATCAGTGGCTCGCGCCGCTGAGTGTAGCGGCGCGGGGGTAGAGTCATCGTCGTCAGAGAGCATTGTAGATGAATGTAGAGAGTTCGTATCGCAGCGATCTAGGGTGACTACCTAGGTATGTGTCGCAATGTGTCAACGGAAGCGTGACATCGGATTCTCATGTTCAATCAACTTCTTTGGCCACTTTCAGATGGTGAGCACTGGGAGACGGTGGAAAAAATATCGGGGCCCCGACCGCGCTAGCGGATTATGGCCAGCCGCCAAAGGTTTTGGGGTTGGGAATGGGGATTTTCACGGTACGGTAGGTCTGACTTTTTTCATGGTAGCTAGCCATATATGGTAAAGGGACATCTGTACGCCTACCAGCGGTACAAGTCTACCCACCATCAATGTACCGATATTTTTCACTGATTGTCAATTGATCTCTACCTCGTTGCCGCCACTATGCCGTCGACCGCCCCCCTTCGCTGCCGCTGCCACCAGATGCCTCTATCGTTACCTTACCACTAGCCCTTCTGGGAGTCATATGAACACCGAAGCGTTAAGTCAGGGCTAATGAAGGTGCCTATGGCGCACCCTTACCTGAAGGTGCTGAAATGACTATTGCCTTCACTATCGCTGGCGCCGATTGGGAGGGCTTTTGTTGATATGCGTGACGTGGCATTCCAGACTACGGAAAAGAAAACAAATCAAAGACAGCGCTTTTGGCAGGATTCGAACATGTGAACTGTTGGCTTCCGGCCAAAATCGACTTTATCACACGATTGGGCGTTCTAGATTTTGTGGCGATACTGGGCTAAAACAAGTTATCGTCAGATTCAGAGGGGAAACGAAATGTATATGCCGTTATCAAGGTGAGTAATGTACGATGTGGAATGGTATATTCTGTTTTGGAGATGAACCGTGTCGATTCGCTGCATATGGCTAGCTACCATGAAAAAGTCAGACCTATCGTGAAAATTCCCCATTCGCTTTGGGGTTGGCCTGCACGTCTGCGAACCTCAAAGTGGTCAAGTCCGGAATCTTGTATGCCCCGGTCGCGCTGTTACAGAGCGCCACAACCAACCAGTTGAAGTGATAGGAGGTGCCATCAGCACGTTAATTCCATTACATGAAGAAGAACTCACTCTTTTACATCCGCATATTTGAATTCATTACTCGAAATGCACGAGTTGATCATATGTATGTTTACAGACATGGTAGCACTGTTGGAAATTGTCCTGACAAACTAACAACCCCCAATGTGAAACGGGGCGTACCTACGTGTATGTGAACCTCATAATCGTGAATGGTACTTTTACGCAGAGGTTTACCGTCGGCTCACCATTACATCATGAAAGCCTTGATATTCGTCTTGTAAGGGCATCGCCATCAATTTACGATCTCTGTTATGCTCATCATTGGCCATGCGCGACTACCAGCATACCTGTATTCAACATCTGGACGAGGCCTACCGCAATAAGATTCGTACTTCTTCCCGAAGATTACCAAGGTGCTGTGGTCTGGAGAAACACAACCAGTACTCCGGCCGGATATTCGATATTCATCTTAATAGATGCACTATTTGAAACCATATGTAGTAGGGCATACACATTCAGTTAAAGACTGAGCGGAGAGACAATCGTGAATAGGCTGGAAATCGAGAAAAGCATCTAATGCTATGAGCCTTTAATAATCGTACCAAAAGATGTTATTCTCTGTTCCAATAGCAGGAATGGGTAATTCCAAGGCAATATCTGATGATGCTTATTACTTGTCTGGCTTTAAACCGGCTATCTAACCGTACTATTATCCAAGTCTTGCGTGCTTTACAAATCAAAGTGGTTTTGCAAATCGACGTCCCTGACGTGTAGGTCGTGGCCATATCTGTAGTCACGGAAGCAGCCGGTTCAAGGCCTGACAAATATTTCAAAATGTATGATGGGCAGCAGAATTTCAATCAGATGCCAGGCGCCCATTCCTGTGTGTGCGGCAGAACGGTACTACGCGCAAAAAAGGCAAAATTGATGTACAAGGCAGGATTCGAACCTGCGCGGTTTCCCACTACGGTGATTTGAAGTCAATGACCTAAACGTAGCGCCTTAGACCACTCGGCCACTTGTACGGTGTACTTGATTGATTAAACCGGTATCTAAACGTTATTATAAAGCAAAGACAGACCCCATGAGGGGCTGAGGGGGCGGAGGGGGCGGAAGGAAAACTTCGAACGGACCAGGAGTTAATGTGGTGCTAGAGTGAGATTCACACAGCACTAGCTGCAACCCATCAACCCCACTCCGCTTGTATTATTTGTCAGGGCCCCGAGGGGGTGAGCAAAAATAGTGAGACGCCTTGCAGCCTTCCCACTACCATCACTTGAATACTCGATTCTGACCTCAATTTGCACTTAACGCGATAACACAAGCTTAGTATACTAAGTAGTAGATATCTGTAATGCAGCAAAAGACAGGCTTCTTCTAATATCAGAAAAGTTAGGACTGGGTGTAAGTTGAGCTAAGAATTGACTAGGTATCTGTTTAAGCGGTGGTGGTGGAAAAGTTGTAAGGGTCCCAAATGTCTCACTACTTTTGCTCACCACCTCGGCCCCCTCAATTCCTCACAGCATCAACAAATATGTATGGATTTGTGCAAACGAATGATGGATTCGGTGATTCAGTGGATGTGCAGATCAAGTCAGACGTCGTGCGACTATATCCCGATTACGTAATCGGTATAGTTGCGCTAGTAGTGACGGTTGACTAATCAGATGACCAGCAGCTCTGGGAATACAGTACCAAATATTCTGATACCATCAGAGTAATCATAGCTTTCAAAACTGTCATAAGCCATCAGGCGGAGAACACGGCAAACATAGACTGACTGGTTGTTGACGTGATTCGATGGACGGCCAACGCCCGCACATAATGATACCCTTACCTGCTGCATACACCTATTCAAGCACGTGATTTCAACCCTACAGGTGTGTAAGTTGATGGCTTATACATGGTTATTCTAATACTTCTATTAACTGACGAAGGATACTAGCCGCCGATTATGCCTTCTACTTAAGGCGCCTCCGTACATTTTTCTGAGCCTGACGCACTTGGGCGGTGGAATCTGGCCAAACCACAATTTCCACCCATCATACCAGTGAACAGGTTTCAGAAAACGACAAGTGACACAGTCGACACTTGTCAAATCATCTACTTCATATAAGCAGGCAGCTGTGTTATTGGACTCATACTACGTGCCGCCGAACTAACTGTCACGGGCTATAATCAAGCCTCTGAAATTGGGACCGATTTTCGTGCAAGTAAAAGCCCAACGTATAGCATTTTAACACCGGAAACTACTGCACTCAAAGTTCAAGGAATGGAGACGAAACAATCAGGTTTGCCACGGTGCATCGAAAGGAATTGAATATGGATTGCATACACACAACAGCGGGATCTAAGCAAAGAGAGCGGGTAGTCCTGTTGTCAATTGCGATGCACACTTTACGGTCAAAGGAATGTCATAAAGAACTTCAAAGCGAATTACGTATTGCCTTAAGCATCGAGCGCCCATAATGCAAGCCAGGGATGTAACTGAGACAACATGGTGCAACAGTTTTCATTCTCAGTCCAGCATGTCTGTTGCATGAAGAGTACGTTGGAAGAACATGAACAGCATCCTGCGACAGTACCTACTGATGCTTCTGATATGGTTCACGAGGAATCTGATGCTGATATGGATATCATTGCCGATTTTGGTAGTTGATGAATACTGATTCGATCTCATTTGCTATTGCATTTTTCTAAGATAGACATAACTTCAATTCGCTTATGGAAACCTACACAAGGGTGTATTTGCGAAAGAACTCCATGATGATCGAGCTTGCATTAAAGGTTGCAGGTCCAGAACCATTTTCGATCTGGTCAGCGTTGACATTGGTTGATGGCCAGTCGTGCCGAACATGATTTCCGTCATATACCAACGAGACCAGCCCCTGGCGCCTGCCAGTGCCGTATGTATAAACTGAGGAATTATCTCTGGCAAGTCGATGATCTCGCACGGGTCTAACATCTAGTCCGACGCGTTGTGCCCACTTGGACACGAAAATCGGAATATACGGCAAACACTCTCCACTGCGTACGCCGCCGCCATACGCAATCGTCATGTCGTCACCGCCGTGGAAGAACAGCATCGGGACGTCACGACGATTCGGCTTGCATTCGAACTTCAGCTTAAGGGGGTCGCATTCGTCTTCGGTCACATTGACATAGTATGACCCTGAGACGGGCGCAAACGCCGCTATGACTGAGGACGATCGTGCGTCGCATGCGAGATTATTGACCATCATGCCGCCTTGAGATTTTCCTGTAGCATAGACGCGACTCAAGTCGATGCAGAATTTTTCCTTGATAGCTTCGAAGATGTCTAACACGAAACCGACATCGTCGACAGAACCCCCAACTTGCGGCGACCCTTGCCAGTACCTGCCGGTGGCATTGTTCCAAGGATACGTTCCCGACGATGGGTAGATGACAATGTGGTCCTTGTTGAAGTGCGGAGTTGTCAAGAGGTCTAATTCTGCGTGTTGATCCGGCGTCTTGTTGGCTCCGTGGTGCGAAAAGATCAAGGGCGTCTTTTTGTTTGCATCGTAGTCTCGCGGCACCCAAAGCAAGTATCTTCTCCCACTTGCTAATGTCACATTGTGACGCTGGCCTAGTTTTACTCCTGGATGCTTTCCGCAGCCAGACGTTGAGTGCGCATGACTTGACTTCGCAGGGGCTGCCTGGCAGGCTTCGAAAAGAAGCACCAGAACAAAGAGAAACTGCAGAATCATGTCCCTCTGTCAGAGCTTGACGAAACGAGAATAACCTTGCACAGAGAAGACGTCAACGGTTTGGCCTTTCGAAAAGCAATATCTCGGGTAAATATGCTGACGGGTTTGTACAGGGACTTTATATTGCCGCTTCGTCCCTCGCTTCCAGTCACTCCCCGACTTCACACGCGCCATTCAGTTGGACCATCACCATCTCCCAGTATCCGATGCAGGTCACCTCGCGACTATGCCGTCACCACCTCGTTTGCTCCCCTTCGCCCCATGATTTCCTCAAGTGAAATTCCCGTCCTCGGTGCCCGTGTGATATTTCGAGTGTGCGGGGAAGGCCCGCCGTTCTGGACGGCTAGACTCTTGTTGGACTAGAGGTGTTTCTTCATGTCCCGGTCCTTGACTGACTTGCATGCTGCGAGGAAAAGCTCGGAAGCGAACATCGCCCGTGGCTCACGAATCTCTTGATTTGCTGTCTCGCCAGGAATGAGCCGAAGTTCCTGTCAAGCCCCATAGCATTGACCAATAAGACGCACTCGTATTTCCTGGCTTGGCCTTGATTTTCACAATCTACGTAGGTAGTGCGACTGCCGAAGCTGTGTATCATTTGACAAATCTGTCTCCCATGATCATGACATGTAGGTAGGTAACTATCCTACTTTATCCGCTGATTGCTACTGCAAACCAACGAGTGCTGCCCTTGAAAGACAAGTTGGCTGCGATCGTACCAAATCAGTTTCCGTTCTCTGCCTCGGAAAGAGGTTGATTCGGAAATCATAGTTGGAACGTATTCGTCGAGCATTACCGTAGAGTTATATCATTGGTTCACTTCCCTTATATATTGTGGCCTTTGCATCACGAGACCGGACGAACCCCTTGCTTGGACTTTCTTAGTGCCATACGACCGCTGCTCAATTAGAAACCCCTAAGTTCACCGCCACTGGCATCGGCATTTTCAAATCCGGAAAACAAGAACCTCCCTACCACATTACAAGTGAGATGCCCGGATTTATTTGAAATGGCAGTTGCTCGCTTGCAACAAGGAGGAGTTACCCCACGTCCAAGTCCGAAGGCGATAAGCATGCATGGCACTTCCCGTCCTATCCGGATAGCGTTGTACCAGACAACCTCTAGCTTCACTGCTTCGCTAGCTTTCATATGTGCTTAAATAGAAGTGATTCTTCGTCATCACTATTTTCATACCAGTAAATGAGCAGACGAAACGAAGGGGCTCATCGACTATATTCCTGTGGCTTTTGCCAGGAGCAAACACCAGGCCGGTTATAGCCATGTAGGTCGGTCGCCGTGGGAATACTCGATGTCACAATACATAGTCATTAATTGTCTACCTGTGACTGCCCATAGGTTGACAATACTGTATTGATTACTTACAAGGCTGTGGTTATGCCACAAATGCGACGAAGGATATCAGCATTCAGCAACGTGATACTATTGAGGCTTCTACTATTCTCAAGGGAGTGGCATTGGAGAAAGGTTACCACACCTATCGGGTAACCTTCAGCCTGGTTTCGGCTCCGCATCTTGCAGTAGTCATGGTGGACAGTAAACATGAGTATAGATGAGAGCGACTCGTTTTGTCTCGATGACTACTGTATTTAAGGTGTGCAAGATGATTGGATATTTAAATCCGTCACTTTCCTATATCCTAATATTGGAGATGCTGACTGAATGGCCGATGGCGAGTTTATGTACGCGTAGTCTTACGGTGAACTGCAGTGAACATGTAGATGCCAAGTCTATAAGACAGAAACATACTATAGTTTGATGAAAAGCAATGCTTACGAAGCCGGACCACGGCCATAATTCACCCTATGAGTGATTGGAGCACTGTTCAATAATTTCGTACTTTCAAAACACAATACACGATAATCCAGTACTAAGATAGAATGCTCTCTGCCGCTTCGGTTGATGAGAGTCCTTGGTCCTGTCACGTCTTGTCACCGGATGTATGCCTATGCGTATAGACGATCACTTCAAAGCCAAAACTGCCAGATACCATATGCACTTTCCGGAGCCGACTCGTCACGCTCCTTTTCGTGATATAGCTAGGAAATTTGGTACACGGGATAGATGATGATTGAAATCAGCATTCTTGTCGAAAGTGTTCACTGCTGTTGCATCACCAGAGTGGTGGCTTTCCCCCGAGTCCGGTATACGAACTTGATCCCCTTTGTTTATAGCGCCCGCATTACCGTCACTCTCAAGATGTGATAAATCGACAAAAGGCGTCCCCACATATCAGTGACTTTTTGCAATTTAAGAGCTGTGTTCATGACATGTTTCCACTG